CCCACCAGCCTTGCACTCTCAGGCCATTAGCTCCTAATCAAGCATCTTTATTCTCATCCTTATTTTCAAATCCCCCTATGGGCTTGCTCCCCCCAGGACTGCATTTTTGTCCAAGCCTACAACTCTCCAGGATATCAGAGTTAATCTAAGCCTCGCTTTCTCAGGGTCGTTGACTAATAATTTAAAATCAGTAGTAGCAGGGCCTACAGTTACCTAGCCCCCATCTCAGTAATGCCTCTATATTGCACTTTCCATAAAAGATACATATTTGGCCAAACTTTTGGTCAACTAGTATAATGCCTCCTTGTGGGTATCATCATTTATGTAACATTTATAACATTTCTGCGAATCACCTTGACTTATTAATTTAAAGATGATATATAGATTGTTATTACTGCACATGAAAAATTAACCCTATTAATACTAAAGGCATTTCAAAATATGTACTTGTACGTTTATACAAGAACTATGAATCTGCACCAACATTCAAGGCTATGGTCCTAGTGCTGGTAAGTGGGATTAGTGTGGATTTAGAGTAGTTTTGTCAATCTCAATGGGACAAAGGGCCTCTTGTGTACTGTAAGAGATTCGGGGGAGCCTCTGAACTACCTTATGAAATTTAATTCTAATCTCGATAGGCATTCTGGACTCCAAAAGTGGTCAGCTACTAGTCGTGCAATTCTAGACTGGACAAAATGAAAATGGAGCCAGAAAAATCTCTCAGTTTACACCCCATACCCAGATAAATTGTGAAAAAGTGATCTACATAAGTGCCATTGGAATTAGGCAGCTGATTTTAGCATATGAACAAAACTGACTAAACTGTTTGCATTCTGTGGTCTTAAAAACTAATCTAGACCATTTAAAAGGAGTTGCTTCCTAGGTTCAATGATTAAAAAAAGGTGGCAGCTAATGGACAGTGCTCACCTAGATAGAACCTTGATATAATAAAGGCTTCCCAAACTTCTGTTGTGACCCCACTTCAAGAATTGAAGTTTCTCAACTGAGACACAGGTAGGGAAGAGAAAATCTGCAAGAGGTAGTGGGAGTGGAGGTCACCATTGCTACCACAGAGCTTTCAATCCCAAAGTTCCAGTTTGCAACCCCACCTGAGGTCCTGACTCCACTTTGAGAAGGACTGATCTATACACATAGAAGCTAGAACCAAGAATTCCGAGACACAGCTGAAAGAAAATATGTAATACAGAGTATTTCCTGTCTAGTGGACAAATAACCACCAGAAAATAGTTATTTTCCATGGCATTTAATTGGCTTTAACAAGGCAGAATACAGACTGCACTGTCTCATTACATTATATACAGCCAATTTTCAAGAAAGATTGCTCAATTTGAGGCAGTTTGGCCATTTTTAAACCACACACCCCCTCATTTCCTCAAGCGTTATTTGCAGAAAAACAAATTTTTAACTTCTCCCTTCCCTGATCAAAAGGAAAATCCATTTAAGCGGAAGTACTTTGACCTTACAATAAATTCTGTAAAGCTACAATCAATGGAGTGCTAAAGAAAAAAGTATAAACTGAGTAAAAGCTGTTAAATTCTTCCCATTCTCAGGATCCACAATGTTCTTAAACAGTAAAACTATCTGAACAACTGAAACTCAAAACATTCAAGGAAATGAAATAATATAATTTGGAAGAGAAAGTATTCATGGGTATTGATATTGCCTTAAAATGCAAGGAAACACTACATATGTTACTCAAAATCACTATCTAGGCTCCACTGCTTTGGATTCTGCTTTCCAATGGAATGCAACAGAAAAGCAAACACATGCCAGCTCCAGTGATCTACTCTTATCTCAACTGTAGATTTCTAGACCTGCACTTTTATAGCTTTGTTTTCTAAAGATAGTAGTTCAAACAGGAACACAATTTTACAATCATTTTGCCCTGGTTAGTTCACCTATTAACATGAGCCTGCAGTTAAATGCCAATAACCTTTTTCAAACAAACAGTCAGTACCAAGTCTGACTTCAACACACCTGCATAATTCTAAAAGTTGTTGAAGCAGGTTACTTTTAGGTAACTTTACCATGAACTTACTGCAGACGCTGGAAATAAGAAATAAAGACAACAAATACTGGAAATGAGCTGGTGAGCCAGCAGAGAGAGAGAAAAAAAAACCCAAGAATTCGCAATTCAGATCGCTGTGCTTTTACGAAACAGGGCAAGGGAACACAGGTTTGTGAGAATCCGAGTAGAAAAGGAGTCAACAATTGGTGATTCATCCGAGGACATCCCTCCTCTCAGGTTCTTTAATCCATCCTATCTGTTCTCACTTGCTCAAAATCTATTTCTTTCCCAGTTCTACTAAAAGATCACAGACCTGAAAGGTTAACACCATTTCTGACTCAGGTGCTGCCAGAACAAAATATTTCCAGTATGTTTTGCTATTTTATACCTGCAGATATTTAGCGTCTAATATTTGGCGTCTATTCAGTATCCAGTTGAGATTTGTTAATGTAGGCGAGGCTAGATATTGAACATCATGCCCGAATAAAGTATCAACTTAATCTCGTACCAGTAATTATTTTTAAAAAGTGGTTATAACCTAGTTAAAATCAAAAATCAGGCTTATTTGTTTTAAATGTCAGATTAGACTTGTCAAGATGCAAGATTATGGAAAGGGTATTTCTGATTGAGATAATTAAGGACTACTGCAGCAGTTCAGAGGCAGTTCACCACCATCTTCAAAGGTAAATAAGGATGGGAATTAATGCTGACTCAAGCACAATGCCCACATGCCATGAACAAATTTTTAAAAAAAACAGGCAAATGTTTCCAAGTTTTTGTTAAGCTATCCAGCTAGACAAGATATTTGATCATTAAAGGGAACAGGTTGTTTTGCCATTTTGTTCAATGGCTTATACTGCATTTTAACCCAAACATTTTAAATTTGCGTACACTCTTGGTTTCTGTAATGTCACTGGCTTTTCAATTGTTTCTGTAGCTTCTTAGTTGAGAATAAGTTATTTGACTTCAGTCTAGCTGAACAAAAGCTCATTAACCAGACTTTACAATTGCTCATTTTCATGTTCAAAACCAACATCCGTTTTACAAACTAAAGTTTTTTTTCCTGACAGTAACAGCTTTCCTCTAGATCCTGTATAATAATATCAGTCTTGCTGCAACAACTGATAAAGTTACATGACAAGTATTATATATCAGACAGGGCAACCCAATGAATTGAAGCATATCAAGTTGGAGAAAGTAAGCTAATAGGTGAAGACAGTCTAGTGAATTTCAATCAATCGTGGAGGAGAGTGATGCTGGTGAAAGATGATTACACATGCAAGACACAAAATTCCTGACCTTAAAATGAGGATCAAGAGCATGCTCTTCTGTGACTGCAATGGTTCCATTAGATGGATTAACACTACCCTCTCAAGAGCAATTAGTGATAGGCACCAAATGATGACCATATACCATGAAAGAATATTTGAAAAATTGCAATATTGAAACACCATTTTCATGTCTTAATAAAAGACGACTTCAGTTTAATGAAGTTTGTCATAGAACAGAAGGAAGGGTGGTATCAAAGCAAAGCAAAAATATTTTGGATATTTAAATATATATAGTTGTACTTTCTGCTAATACTGTATTATTTTAACATGTACAAATAAATTTGCAGTGACCCTCTTCATTCTAGAGTACTTGATAAATTTACCTAATACTATTGAAAATTCACTATGCAAGATACTCGGACAATGGTTAATCATCCAATCTATTCTACGTGTAAAAGGAATCAAGCACCACTACTCACAGGAAGTGGTATCAAAACAGTTAACAGAAATCATTTTGAAGAGCCTGAACCATAAAATATCCTTCCAGTCTCCGTGGCTCAATGCCATACTGTGTGTAAAACTGGCCCATCAGGGAGAAAAACTGCACTTGAAACAGATTCTTGCAGTTGATGTAACAAATACGTTGAGACAGATTTATAAAGACTAGACGAAACATACTCTGAACGTCCTCTCAAAGAGAGGAGGTGTGACAGATATCAACAATTAAAATAAACTCCAATAAGTAGATAAGCCAAGAAATGGTAGATAACGGGGGAACGTTTCAACACTTTACAGCAGCTTTTTAATCTGAAGGTGGTTACCAAGTAGCAAAAATAAAAACTGGCATGTGCTCAACCAGCCACTGAAATCTCGCAAGCTACAGAAGAAACTATTGTTGACAGAAATTAGGCTAGAGAATACTTGAATGCTTTAAAGGCAGCTTGCTCAGTACTGAAGATAACAACGTACTGACTGCATAAATTTCTTCTAATACTTATTACTGCATATTAATAAAACAGCAATGCTGGACCATTTAAACCAAAACTCTTGTAGACAAATGTGTCTTTAAACAGAAATATAAATAAAAAGTTTTGGAGAAACTTAGCAGTTGTGGCAGCAGCATCTGTAGACAGAAGCAGAGTTAACATTGCAAGTCCAGTCACCCGTGAAGGGTCAGCCAGACCTGCCGAGTTTCTCAAACGTCTGCTATTCTTTGTTTTTATTTAAAAATCAACAACAGGTCCAACTGTAAAGCTATAGCAAGTTGCTTTATATGATTCAATTACAAAACAGATCAACAAATTTTAAAAAGAAAATTTGATTTAGAATGTCAAGAATGTTGGGAATTCTTCCATTCTTTGACTGCTGCAGAGTAACCATGGTTACAAGGGCTAAACTTTGGCCAAGTTATACATCTGGTGTAAATAATATTACTTTCAATCAATATTTAACTATTGCTAGGCAACAATTCTGGTGGCTCTTCTCCCCAAATTGGAGTGCTATGTCTTTTCATTTTTAGATTGCAAGAAGTGATAATCTCCCAGTATTAACGTGCAACTTATGGTGCACTGATTTATGTATAAATTTCTTTCAACTGCGAAAACGTGAAGTGATATTGGGTAAATCTTCAGTTAGAAAAAGTTTTACTAATTTACTGCTTTGTCAGCAATTATACAGTTTTCTTGTCATGTCAGTCTTACCTTCTTGTACTTTTTTGCCATCCATTTGTCCCAGTTGTTCAACATGTCCAGCCACTTGGATTCTCGTTGCCGCAATACCTCAGGTGGTACTTCATGTTGCCTGGAAAAATAAATTTCCAGATTACTTTTAAAGGTTGAAAGCTCAGTAATAAAATTGAAAGCACTGTACTTTGAATGCTCATTTTTTGACGTTTTTATACGAACATCAGCTGCTTAGTCTTAATGAGATTATGGAGATCACAAAAACCAGACAAAAGCATGTATTACACCCAAAATAGGAAAGGGAGCAATACTATTAAAAACAAACAATGTCTGAAGCAGTCAAATAAAATAGCAGACTCAAGCAAATCTGTGGGCCAAGACATTGTACTCCTTAAAAAGCTTAATCTGTGAAATACAATAAATTGTAGCTGCTCAAAAAAAAAAAAAAAAAACTTTTACTATACTTCTCATCCAAGGCAGAGCAGTAAACATGATCTATGTGGACTTCAGCAAGGCATTCGACAAGGTTCCTCATGGTAGACTGGTTAGCAAGGTTAGATCAGATGGAATGCAGGAAGAACTAGCCATTTGGATACAGAACTGACTCAAAAGGTAGAAGGCAGTGAGTGGTGTTGGAGTGTCGCTTTTCAGACTGGAGGCTTGTGACCAGTGGTGTGACAAGGATTGGTGCTGGATCCAATGCTTTTCGTCATTTACGTAAATAACTTGTACATGAACATAGGATGTACGGTTAATAAGTTTGCAGATTGACACTAAAATTGGAGGTGTAGTGGACAGCAAAGAAGGCTACCTCAAAGTACAACAGGATCTTGATCAGATGAACCAAAGGGTCAAGAAATGGCAGATGGAGTTCAATTTAGATAAATGCGAGGTGCTGCATTTTGGAAAGGCAAATCAGGGCAAGATTATACACTTAATGGTAAGGTCCTGGGGAGTGTTGCTGAAACAAAGTCCTTGGTGTGCAGGTTCATACTTCCTTGACAGTGGAATCCCAGGTAGATAGGATAGCGAAGGCGGCATTTGGTATGCTTGCCTTTATTGGTCAGTGCAGTGAGTATAGGAGTTGGGAGGTCATGTTGCAGCTACACAGGACACGGGGGGGGGGGGGGGGCGGAAACGCTTTTGGGATACTGCATGCAGTTCTGGTCTCCCTGCTATAGGAAGGATGTTGTGAACCTTGAATGGATTCAGAAAAGACATACAAGGATGTTGCCAGGTTTGAGCTATAGGGAGAGGCTGAGTAGGCTGGGACTATTTTCCCTAGAGCATCGGAGGCTGAGGGATGACCTTATAGAGGGGCATGGATAGGGTAAATAGACAAGGTCTTTTCCCAGGGGTGGTGGAGTCCAAAACTAGAGGGCATAGGTTTAAGGTGAGAGGGGGAAGATTTAAAAGGGACCCAAGGAGAACTTTTTCACAGAGGGTGGTGCACGTATGGAATGAGCTGCCAGCGGAAGAGGAGGAAGCTGGTATAGTTACAACATTTAAAAGGCATCTGAGTGGGTATATGAACAGGAAGGGTTTAAGAGACATATGGGCCAAATGCTGGCAAATGGAACGAGAGTTATTTAGGATATCCAGTCGGCATGGATAAGTCGGACCGAAGCATCTGTTTGTGCTGCACATCTCTGACTTTCAAAACACTTCACATAATGATAAACACAGGTTCTGTAGACAGTAGAAATTTTACACATAGCAAGATGCCGGTTTTTGGTGGTTTTGATTGAGGGTCAATGGTGGGACAGAAACTCAGTTTTGTTAACAACGCCATAGATCTTTTATTGATGCCTGAATAAGCAAATGATACCAGTTTTCTCCAATGAATGGCAGCTGAGTACTAGACTAGACAAAGGAATTCCTTGAAAAGCACACAACAACACACCATGTATTTTAAAAAAAAAATATAGCATCCTCATTTTTTTTAAAAAAAGCAGTTTTATCTACCTGCTAGTAGAAATAGCTTAGTTCCAACTGCTTAGACATTTATTAAAAATCAGACATCCCCTTTCCCAAGCAGCTCCTCTGTACCACTTCATCTATTGATGTGGGCCACATTCACGGTCTGTTGAAATATCACAGATTATATGGGAGTTCATTATGTGGCACATCAGGCCATACTTTTTCTTCAACCATCTATTCAATTTCTATCCTTTATTTTATTCCTTTGCAAACATTTACTAATGCTGATTAGCATTTGCCTCATTAGCCATTTCAAGCAGGATAACTTTCAAGAACCTCTGTTGGCAAAGGGTTTATTTCAGTTTGCACCTTCATTTTTTTTTGAAGAAATCCCAGAATCCACATGCCCTTATCATCAACTCAATGAGTGGAAATGATTCCGCACATCCAAGGCATCTTGGAATTATTTTTTCCAAATGTCAAAACTGTACTGTATAAACATATGCGATTATGGCTAATCACCAGTTGACAACCTTTTATTTCGGAAACCTCTATTACAGCCATTCCTTAACCTTCTCCATTTCAGTGAAAAAAGGTTTAAGTTTGAATCTCTCTGTACATGTAACATGGTAGCATTATTTTGAGTCTTCTCTGTACCTTTCCCAATCTCTAATATCCTTGCACAATTGGCTGCACAAAACTATGTTTTTATCCAACCGAAGTCTTGTACAATGTCCAAACATACAAATGAGATGCAGTAGGTGGTCCCTTGGCCCTGCCCCACCTTTCAATAAGATCATAGCTGATGTTGTTACTTCACAACCCCACCTTCCTCCAATAATCTTCTACCCCTTTGCTTCTAGATAAGCAATCTACCTCTGCTTTCACCACGTGTGGCGGCAAAAAAAGTCTTTGAATGCTTTGAAGGCAAAGTTCCAAAGGTTCTCAATCCGCAGAAAAAAATCCTCGTGTCTCTTCAATGAGTGACCCCTTAGTTTAAAACATGAGCCCCAGTTCGAGATTCTCCCACAAGAGGAAACATCTTTTTCCACATCTACCCTGACAAAACCCCTCAGGGTCTTATATGCTTCAATTAAAGTTGCATCTTACACTTCTAAACTCTAGTGGATCCAAGCCAAACTTGTCCCCCTTCTCCTCATAACGAAACTCCTATTCCAAGTATTAGTCTTGTAAAACTTCTCCAAACCACTACCAATGCATTTACATCCTTCCTTAAGAAGGAGACCAGTACTGTACATAGTAGTGTAGTTTATAACTGAAGCACTTCATTACTGTTGTGAATGAATGCTTCTTACAAGAAACATTCTACTTGTTTCTTAATTACTTGCCACACCTTAATAGAATTCATGCACTAGGACCCAGACCTCTCTGCATGTCAAAGCAATTCAATCTCTCACCAATTAGAGAAAATGTTTGGGTGGGGGAAGGGCGTGGTGAGAGAAAAAAAAGTTCTCTTGCCCAAATGCCATGTATGATACTCCACTTGCTAAAAAAAAAACTTTTATTCACTCACTTATGTCCTTTGTAGTCTCCTGACGGCCTCTTCACAATTTATTTCCTGAGCTACCTTTGGTGAGTTCAGCAAATTTAGCAACACCATCTCTGGTCCCTTTGGTCCCGTTTATATTAATTGTAGAAAGTTGAGATCTTAACATTGATCTTTGTGCATACCACTTGTTACATCTTGCCACCCAGAAAATGACCTATTATGTCCATTATTTTCTGTTAGCTAGCCAAACTTTTCTCCTTACCAAATGTTACTTTCTATAAGCTTCTACAATAATATTTGCTGTGCACCTTATCAAATACCTTCTGGAAACTGAAACACAGCCAGCCTAGGGTTTTGTTTTTGTCTGGATTGCTGAATTTTACAGACCATTCTTAATGCAAGCAAATATGTTTTGAGTATATACCATTATATTCTTTTTGTATGCTCTTAATACGTGGAATGATCTGCAGGTTTCTCATTTTATAATTTCAACTTACTTTTCATTATCATTACTGAACGAATGTAGCATTTGGATACAGTGGGCGAGTATCCTGGTTTGTCGGGCTTTCGTGTTTAAGGGTTTCTAAGCTAGTCGAAACAAATGTAAACATTTGTGAAATTCATACAGTGCTGAACAAAGAAATGTTACTGCTTGTGCAGTTTCACAGTAAGAAACTTTTTATATTCCGTATAAGATGCAGTGGAAGCAATCACATTTGTGGGATGGTGATGAACAATTTCTGCAAGTCAATTCTTTCACTTTGTGCTTTTAGCTGCAAATAAGGACATACTATTGTAAAACAGGATGCCATGTCAATTGTTGGCCCCCAGAGAGAAAAAAAGCTATTTCCTTTGCAGCACCCTGCATAACATTTTACCGTAAATTGAATCTTCAACAGCAAGTGGGCTAGAATCCATTTATATTTCACCGGGATAAATTCATTTATTGATTAAGTATCTGTATGTAGCAAAAAGAAAGTAAGTCACTCAATTCATTGAAAAATTGTTTCAATAAAAAGAGTATTCTGCACGGTTACTAAAAGACTGAAAAATTTGAGACTTCTGTCACTGCAGTACCTTCCCTTTTAAAGTAATCCCAGCAATGACACAGAGTTGATCCCTTGACAGTCTCATCCAGGCAGGTTGACAGTATTCTAAGACACGTACTGACCCAGCATGCCAGGGTCATGCCTAGGAGATAAATGGGCACTTCCTTTGTTAAGGCAAGGACTCCTCTCAGCTCATACCAAACAAGTCTGCAAGTCAATATCCTAACTAATACAGTCATCACAACTGATAAAATTGCAGCTAGTTTATTAGCAGATTGTGTATTTTAGCCAATAGTAGCACTTTACCCAAGAATTCCAATTTTCCCATTTTGACTTGTGTTTGTTCCCTTTAGATTCCATGAGGTTTGTCCCTGCAGGGAAACAATGACATTTCATCAGATAAAAAGATAGTGACATTCAAGATCTTTCTCACTAATGTAATTTTGAGGCTCCTAATACTGGAGGGGTTTCTAGGCATGTCAGTCTGAATGCTAAAAATCACATTTGAATGCGCCTTCTGAAGAATCATTTAAATATATGATGTCGCTCATTTTAAAGAGCACAGAATACTTTGTTATCCTGTGACCCAATTTTTGGTAATTTAAAAGCATTCCAGTTCAAAATCACTTCTGAAATTTC